TGGTTAAGGTTAGGGTCAGGTGTGGGGTAGATTTATGGGTTAGCATTTTTTGTTGCATAGTGTAGGATATCAACACTTTAATTGACACAGCCAATAATATCTTTAGAATCAGCTGTGGGGCGGAGTTTGCACTGAAGTTTATTGGGGGGCGAAGTGCGCATGTGTGTCATGTGCCTGCATGTCAATGGGAGTAAGCCACGCCCTATTTTGGAGCTCCCACCCCGTTTTGGAGTTCCCGCCCCCATTTGGAGATCTCCAGGCTGCAGTTATGCCCTTCTCGGCGTAACCGTATGTTTACCTGTCAAGGTCAAGCGGAATCACATCCCGTGTTAAAGCGCTCAGCTCCGACCAGCGATAAAAAGCTGTCTCGTCTTGCTTCTTTTTTGTCTCATTGCTTATGGTCTTTTTATTTTATTCCGCCTTTTATGACCGTTAAAACGTTGTTGGCGACAGATGACATGAGTATTTCGCACGCTACAAACCATCAAACTTCTAATCTCTCCATTTCCCGGCTACCCATATATGGACTGCCTTTCTTTAACCCACTAATTGATTGACAGGCTGCTTCAAAAGGCCTTTTGATTGGCTAATCTGAAAGCGCCCCGCCTCTACTTTTATTGTACTAGATCAGATATGCGTGATGTGTTGGGATAGTTATTTTAGTTAAACCTTTCAGGGAGTTGACAAATTTTTATAACTTTTCTAAAGTAGTTTACAGCACCTGTAGGGCCTAAATCTAATACTTTAAGCCAGTGGTTCCCAAACCTGTCCTGGAGGACCCACTGCCCTGCACATTTTGTATGTCTCCCTAATCAGACACACCCAATTTAGTTCTTGCAGTCTCTACTAACGAGCTAATGAGTGGATTCAGGTGTGTTAGATAAGGGAGACATACAAAAGGTGCAGGGCAGGGGGGCCTCCAGGACAGGTTTGGGAACCACTGCTTTAAGCTACTGAGTTGTTTGATCCCGGAGTAATTAGGTTGATGCGCTTTCTTACTTTGATGTACGTTGTATAATTCCTCCATTCGAAACAAGAAGACCTTTCTTCTGTTTGCATCACCATACACAATTTATTGGCTCCACAAACCACCAGCGTGCATAATGTCCAATTTAGTATCCAATACATACACTAAAACAGGGCTGTCCAAACTCAGTCCTGAAGGGCCGGTGCCCTGCAGAGTTTAGCTCCAACTTGCCTCAACACACCTGACTGGAAGTTTCTATGCCTAGTAAAGAGCTTGATTAGCTGGTTCAGGTGTGTTTAATTAGGGTTGGAGCTAAACTCTGCAGGACAACGGCCCTCCAGGACCGAGTTTGGACAGCCCTGCACTAAAATAAATTCTTACAAACGTCCATCATCTTTCGCGCTGTTACGGTCAAAAATCTTTTGCCCTTCCGGGTCAAACACCTACACTGAAATCTCTGGAAGGTTCACAGAGCCACTCAATGGTCAAAATGAGAATAACCCATCACCTTTTTACACACATTTTGGCTCCTACAGCACCTGTAGGACTACAAAGTGGATATATGTGGCAACATTTCCACAGATAAAGTTTCAGCAGGTTGCATGTTAACAGTCTCTTGCATGCAAATACGAATGTTTTCAAATGTACAGCAATCTCGAAACCTAACCATCTCTATAAGTGTGAACAGTGTGAATCATGGCAAAAGATAACACAGGATTATTTTTGCACAAATGAACAAGTGTGAAAAAGCCAAATAGAGACAGAAAGTCTTTATTGTGAGGAGGTTACATTTGCAAAAACTTACATAAACAGATCTTCATCATAATATGTTGTCTTTAATGACACATTACAAAAATATTTCATGTTCTTCTATAAACTAGTTTATACTTTGAGCTATAGGCTAGTAATCTGCAATACTTTATTTTTCAGTACAAAACACTCTCTTTAGAAATACATTAGTAAGACAAATGACAGACGAGTTAAAAAGAGAAACAATTCAAACATAATACATTCTGGATTGTTTAACCCCATAGCTTTAATATGCTGATCATTTAGTGACAATGCATTTGTCAGTTTTTTTTTTCTTTAAGTTTTCCTCAGACTCCACACTTGTCCAGTGCTTCCAAAATGTTTTTTGGAGGATGCAGCTCAATATGATCACAAGGTCCCCTGGCTTCCAATGTTCCTGCTGTCAATGATCTTGATGAGCCCCTTTACCCATGAGTCAGTGGGTCTGGCACACACAAAATAACCCTTCACAGTCTTGAACCTGTATTCAGAGAAATTCAATACCATCAAACACAAAGTAACTTGCTCTGTTGGTCAAATAAGTTCAAACCAGTTTAAAAATAATATTGATTATTAATATAATAAACAAAAATAATCAAATGAATAATTCTAATATATATATATAATAATAATTGTTATTATTATTACAATTATTATTATTATAAATATTAAGTATATAAAAATAATGAATATAAAAATAATATTTAAAATAAATAAAAAAATATGCTCAGTTTAATAATGATAATAATTATACTATTGTAATTTTTCTCCTACATACACAAAAATAGAGATATATTGTTGTTACACTTACAGCACGGCTTCCTTGGGGCACTGCTGGCTTGTCATGCTGTATTCAGCCACTTTTTTGATTGGCACAGGACGGTCCGAAAAGGAGAAACAGCATCTTTGTGGTCCAATACGCAAACCTAGATTAAAGAATACACAACCAAGTTAAAACAGTATACAACTAGAATGTACGTTGCACAGATTATAATGAAATGTTTTACATATTTTATTGTAAAAAAAAATGTCCTTGTTTTTCAAAATGTTAATTTATCTTTCTCCTCCATCTTACCTTCACTGAGGCTAACTGCGCACAGAAGCACCACCACTGCGGAGAACATGATGAAGCGAGAGGCGGTCATTCTGGCCGTTATTTTGTACGAGACTGGCTGGATGTACAGAAGGTCTGTTTGAGGCGAAGCACTCAAGTCGGACTTGCTGCTGTGTGGCTCATTGTCCAGGCTATCAGCCTTTATAGAGAGTCTTCTGTGAGGGGAATATCCCTTTATGCGTGGAATTTGAGAGAGGGAGATTTTGGGTTGAATTCACCCACACAAAAAGAAAGTACGGCAGTATCTGCCGTCATCCCACACGTGCTTCTGACCTTCACAAGTCATATTTAGTTTTCACTTCCTCTTTCACTACAGTGGCTTGAAAAAATAACAATCAGCCACACTGTGTGAATTATACTAGAAGGAAATTAGATGCATTTGCACCAAAGCCATTCCAAACACTAAAAGCATCATCAAGAGCGTCATGAAATTTGATATATGTATTTGGGATTTCAGAGTGGACACACATTTGGCAGTTTGGCCGAATATTGTGGATTTTAAACAGAGAATAACATATGAGAAAGATAACAGCACAAACGATTGAGACTATTTTGCCGACGTTTTGCGTTGGGTGGGGGGCCAACTTCACGGAGTTGTCAGATTGTTCATTTTTGGGTGAACTATTGTTACATGTATGCCTTGTTTTCTGTTCTCTCCATTGTGACCTAGTTTTCCTGATTTGCCTGATTATGTCATTCAGTTCACCTGTTGTCTGTTAATCATCTCATTTGTTCCCTTTGTTTGGTTCATGCTTATAAGTCCTCAGTTCTTCTTTAGTCTTGGTCCGTTCTCCGTCTATGTTAAGTTGGTTTCTGTGCATGTTCTCCTGGATTTATCTGATTAAAGGACTTTTCGTTGATCTCCTTCGTCTTCGTGCAGTTTGTATCACTAACGCGTGACAACTATACTGTCCCAGTCCATTTTTAAACTATGCAATATGCAATAAATGATGACTGTTTTTCTGTTCTGTTGCCATAATAATTAATAATTATTATTATTAACTTTATTTAAATTGTATTTTGTTATTGATAGAATAAATACTTTTTTATTAAAAATGGGATTGAATGTATTTGTAACTTCAAAAAACAACTAGCCTCTCATTTGATTCCTCTTTTTTTGTTCTGTTACTATAATAATAGTAATAATAATTATCCATCCATCCATCCATCTATCTAGAAATGCTGGACTACTACTACTAATAATAATAAATTACCCTATATATTATAAATGTATATTATTATATTTTGTTATTGGTGTGTGTGTGTATATAAGCCAGCTTATCCTATAGGGTCCTCAGGAGATTACATAGTCTGTAACAACAATAATAATAATGATGATAATAATAATAATAATAATAATAATAACAACAATATATTTTGTTATTGGTAGAAAGAAAATGTTATTTAATGTATATAACTTGATGTATTATATATATATATACTGTATTTGGCTTAAACCTAATTGTTAAAAGTTATTGTTAAATGTGAATTGTTAAAAGTTATTGTTAAATGTTATGAACATATTTAATAGACATGCTGGCGCCACATTTAAAAGGCCCTTTCAAGTATCACATCCTCTTTCGAAAAGGGGTTTGAACTTCAATAGTCTGAACTTCTGACATTTCGTGTTTAGACACACATGAACAGTTTCACTTAAGATTTAAAACACCCCCTCGTCAGCTAGAAAAGACCAAGCAATCTTAAAAAAAATACAAATTTTAATTAAAATATGTTTTTGCTGAAAAATAAAAGAAATGAATTAAACTGTAAAATCTAACTGAAAACAAATTAAAAAAAACCTAAAGAGCTAATTGTTTTGAATCCACCAAATCTCATACACCTGTTGAACATCGCATGGATGGAGATGATGAGTTATAATATCCCTTCATTCTCTGACTCACTATATTTTCATACACATTTGCATTGTATCTTAATGAAACAGCATTTCAGCAGACACACTTCAGTAACCTTGTGTGTCATGAGGCTTGTTTTAAAGCAGCATATAGAGCAGAAGACTCAAACATATCAGTGTTAGAACCATGTAAGTTAAAGTACATTCCTAATTATTCACATATCATTGTTTTATTCTGCAAACCTATTCAGCGAATGCCCATTTGTTTATTTAGATTGCCTTACAAAAGGGAAAGAGCTTAATGACAGTTTAGCATCCATTACTCATTTTATCCAAACAATTCCCAGTGGAGTTTTCTTTTAGGTCACTGAATGTAACAAAAGTGTCCTGTAGTTTTATTTCAAGTTTCAAAGGAAGCCTGTTAATAGCTTATTGGTCATTTGTGTTGCAAAATGCAGGGAAATTATTTAAGGGGCTTTTAAAAAACGCTTCTTTAGCTGAGACAGCACTAAAATAGGCTAAATAATAAAAGATACAGAAACTGATCATTTTGGTAGAATGTTACAATAACATTCCAAGTATGTTTATCTTATGTTGTATCTTATTATTTTTATATGACCTGTTGCATTCAAAAATATGCTGTCATAAATATTTTAAAATATCAGTATATTAACGCTTTAATTTACAAGGAAGAAACTGACTGAAGCATACAGTACACGTAAGACTATCAGTGAAATATTAGATAAAAATTACAGCTTTAACTTTTCTATATTGTGGAAAAAGTCATCCCTCAATGCAAAGAATCACTGAAGTCAGGAAGTGTCAGATCCCAAAGCTGAGACTTTATTACTGAAGACAATAAAGCCGGTCTGTAAATTTAAATGGTAACACTTTCTGTTAGACCGTGCTGCTGATCAGAGAGCGGATAGTTTTCTTTCAGTTCATCCCCACTTCAACTGCAATGGTTATCTCCCAACCCCTGGCTCCTCTTTAATGGTGGATCACTGCCAGCTTAATGTCAGAACATCACATATATAATTTTAATTGTATCACAAAGCAATTAGTACAGGTTCATACAGTACTTAGTGTGTTTGTCTCGTACCATGAAGAGACTAGTACATGCTATTCAGAGTCCTAGAGGCCTGATTAATGCGTGGTACAGGCTTACAGTTCCCTGGTTTTGTAGTGCTCACAAACATATACTATTTCTCTAACAAAAATATATCTTACAGAACCCAGTGCATAACTGGCGATTCCTAAGGACTGTTCACACCAACACACACATTTACCTGTTCAAACTAATGCTTCAAATATGGCAGAAGGGCTGAATGTAAGAAGATACCAAATTTAGGTTATTGTAGGCCTTCTCTTAATCGTAATGATTCTATATCTACTTCCCAGCTAATGTTACTTTACTCAGACAGACAGCAGTTTCATCAAATTTGCAGCCAGAAAGACAACCAACATGAATATTAGTCTTTGTTCCTTTAACCGTTTGTATTTTTGGAATTCTATTTTCATTTTTTAATACAGTGAGTGCACTGACCAGAAACAGGAAAATATTACAACAGTGAGACAGGCCAAACAAGCTCACAAAGAGAGGAAATGTACATCTCCGACACCTCGCGAGGCACTACATGCAGTGTTAAAATGAACATTGTGTGGCTTAAGTGTAAAATATTGGCTATATTTGTAGCCTTACTTGCTTGGTGTGGAGGAGTTTGTTAAGATGTCACTTGTTCCAAGTTACTGCATTATCTGTAGCTAATTATCTTGCTCGCGTTAAGGTTGATTCAAGTGAAACCACGTGCTCCTGTCACGCACAAGGCCAGTACTTTGTTATTGAATGTTTGATCAGGTAAACAATCCTATCAGAGAAACTCATCCATTAAGATCCATTAGGTGCAAAGTAATCAGCTGTACATACGTTGGCATTGAGATTGCAGTTCAGTAAGTGAGTCATGTCGATTTAACGGCTTTCTCTGACTGATCCAGTTCAGTGTTCAGTGAAGGAATCGTGATCATGGATGGAGCCTATAAGAAAGTAAATGTCACAGCTAGTATCACATCCCCTTTCAGGTTTACAGTTCAGGTGGGACAAATGACATAACTCATAATAAGAGTACTTGCTCTGATCGAACAGCAAGCACTTTTGCTGAAGTTCTACAAGCCATCTGTTCTGCTGCTGTATGTTTAAACATGAAAACCTGAGCTGGATACAACATAAAATTACTGTAACAATATATATATACACATGACAATATATATAGCCCTTAGTTATGGTGGTTGAGGGTAAAGTAAATGAACAGAAAATGTTCTTTTAATTTATTTTCATATATACATGAATCCCAATGTGTAAATTTCATAAATGGCTCTTGTTTTTACTATATGAAAACCTGAATAAGCGCATACCCAACCATCCTAAAACCAGTTAGGTGTCTAGCTATTTACAGGAGATACCACGGTCTGCTTTTGATGAATTTGTTACAACAGATTCTTCCTGAAGTGACACTCCACTCATTTAACAAACTCTGGAATAACCTACCTAACATTGTTCGGGAGGCAGACACACTCTTGCAGTTTAAATCTAGATTAAAGACCCATCTCTTTAACCCTAATTAATGCTGTTCAGTTGCTTTGACACAATCTGTATTGTTAAAAGCACTATATAAATAAAGGTGACTTGACTTGACTCATTGATTCTACCTTGTAACCTCAAACTGTTTCCTGTGGAACTACCTGGGGTAGTTCTTGGGGTACCGTTGCCTGATAAGTGTGTAAACATTTGCAGGGGATGACAATCTTGGCTCAAATATGTAAACAGTGAACACTGTGATGCCTTTTACGACACCATTCTCCTGTGATGGAGCCACAGCAATACTGCAAGAAGGAAAAGTGTTAGGGGATGGGGCTTGTGTGTGAAAAATAGTCTGTGTTAATTGAGTCTTGGGGCTCACGTCAAGCATGCAGGCCATGACAGACATGGCAGTGCACTGGCAAACATGCATCTACCAACAGTTTGGGGTTAAATTGCCACCAATTGCTCAGTTTTCCATAGTTTGCAGTGATGGCACCACTGTCATACTTCAGGACTTGATCAATGTATCCCAGCAGTCAAATAAACATGTTCTTAATTGTTTAACTTAGTGTTACACGAGGCCATACAACGCAACCTCGATCAGTTTTATATATCAGTATATAAACTCCCTAAAAAGATGGCACAAGGCCATAGAAACATTAGAAAGACGTT